TACATTAGACCTGTCAACTTATGTATAAACTATGCCTACAGGTGGTCAGTGTAAAGCCAACTACAACGACGTGTTACTCGCATTATTGTAATAGATCCGATTGTGATATAACAATATACTGAACTGAACTTTATACAACTATGTAATTTGTTTTCCCTTACCAATATGTATTTGTAATATTAATAATTTTATGATAAATTATGTAATAATCCTATTGAAAATATTGTTTTAAGAATATTATTATATTTCTTCAGTAATTCTAATCCGACTTATTGTTATCATCAGAAACCAGATTATTTATTTTATAGACAAATACTAGTCCCAGGTATATGAAATGTGATTCTAACTTATAACATTCACGCTCTAAAAACTACCACAACTTAAGCACTTGTTAATTTCACTACTAGTGATATTTTAATCAATGTTCAGGCAATTCAACTAAACAGCAAAATAAATGTTGTATAAGTTTTTTAAGTATTTTTCTATAAAATAAATATTAATAAAATATTATGAATACTAAGTATATCGAATATAATCACCAGGTAATGGTTCAAAACTAGATTATGCTAGCATTTCCTTAATGTGGATTTTCCTGCAGTGTGTTCAGTACGCGATAAATGCCTCTTCCTTTTACGCCGCATTCTCGTTGGTACGGCATCGTTGTCTGAGTACAGACAAGATTTTATGCATTATAGAGCGGCACATAAGTTGAACCAAAATGGCTTTTTTCCGTGAAGGATCCGGTCTCTTGTATACATCGTTGCTATAGAAACGAGCTGCGCCTCACCCCCGCACTTCGATAGAGATTAAAAAATTTACTGTTGTTTTGATTAAATGCTGATCAAAATGGCGAATGGCTTAAATGACCGCGGATGACGACTCGAAGTTACGATTACGTGCCGCGCATTAAACGTCAATTATCAGAGTAAATTCAGACAAATCTTTTGCACATTATTACAGTAACGGTATGAAATACGTTTGTTTCTTTCTGTATAAAAGGTATCGCACACCCAGCACAAGTTAGGATAATACCCACGTTTAGGAAACGCTAGGTAAATTATCTAGTGAAAACGTTAGTGTTCCGATAGAAATTTATATTTATCATACTTATAATTATATTACCGAATTTTTATAGACCAGATGACGTAATTATGTACTGCTTGTTTAACTATGTGCCTAATGTTACAATCGATGGTTGTTTACATAGTAGAGTGTTATGAAATAAAATGTTCAGCCAGCAGCCAGTGTTCTGAATATACTTTTATAATTTAAAATAATATCACAGTATGGCATTTTGGATGCAAAATTGATCAAATATAATTATTTATTTATTTCAAAAAAGAGAGATGTTTGTAATATATTTTCTTTCCAAGTTAAAGAGAGGTTACTGTATAATTTTAACCATTATATCGACTTAGTTTGTAGAGCATAAAGACGGGTACTCATTAGGCAACAGTTGTTAACAAACTGTTTATGGTGTTTACAAACAAGTTCTGCATAAATCCTGTATCTAAACCTTGACAATCCACACTTGTCAGTCGTTCCTGGGCTGCTGTTCGAGGAGGTAGTAAACACATTATAGTAGTAGAATATTTAATAGAATCAAGCGTTATTTTGCGCAAGTCCATTGCTATAACCGTTATTGTAAAACACGTGTAGAGTGGTGATTTTGCGAGATTTGTGGCAGTTTGTGTATGTGAATTGGTGTGCGGGTAATAAGGTCTGCTGACAGTTGCAACATTAATACTAAGAAAAAATTAAGCATGAATTAAATAACGCTAAATGTGCGGACTAATTATAGGCAGATACTACTTGAAATGTGGAATACAATAAACTGTGTAACTTAAGTATTACACAGTTACAGTATATATAGAAAAAAGAAAATATATTAGATGTAGTTACATTAAAATTCACTTATTATTTATATACTTACCTCTAGAAAGATATGTCTGTACCTTAGCAAGGAATCATTGTTGATATCTAGTACTTCACTATATTTATTTAAATGACTATTTAGCCGAGGGACAGATGAATGTGTTCCAAGGACTACGAAAGAGTGAGACAATCGGTTTGACGGCTTATCGTGGGCATCTATGGGGCACGTTAAATTTAAATTTTACTAAGAGCTGTGGACAATCAATTTTTTTTTCATAAAAAGTTCATACAAAAACTGCAAATCTAACATTTCACACCGTTGCTCCAATGTTATAATATTGAAATGATCGAGTCTGTCTTTGTATGCTTCGGACTTAAACGCTATTCTCGATGACCAAGCCAAATGCCACAAAAATCTCTTTTGAATCCTTTTCAGCCGTAGATTGTGATTGGAATAATGTGAAAATGACGCCACACTGTGCTGCAGTATTCAAGTATACTTCGAACAAAGCTGTAGTGTAGTAATATTTTAGTTTTAGGTTTGGCAAACATTTTAAAACTCAGCATTTTCGAAGATATGTTAACTATTTGAGCAATGTGTATTGCAAGTAAGCCTTTTGTCGTATATGATACCTAAATACCTTATATGGTAGACTTCTTGGATTGGATTTTACATAATGTGTAACAAAAAGGAAAGTTAATGTAAAAACATTTCTGACTATTAAGACTTATATCATTTGCGGCATACCACTCCGCAAGTCTATGGCTGGAGTAATATGACATCACTTTAAGATACAATGGGTCTTATGATTTTGAGATCATCCGCATATAGAAAATGAAAGAAGTCGTTGAACAGAATAGGGTCCAAGTGTGAGCCCTGAGGAGCTCTTTATAAGAGTTGATTTGAAACCATTCATAGCAACATAATAAAAAATTATCGTTTGTCTAAATATGACTCCATCCAGTCCAAAAGTGGACCAGTGAAAACATATAGTTCCCTATAAGTTTTAGAATTAAAATTCTGTGTGAAACTGGATTGAATGCTTTCGTCCGTTTATCTCAGATCCGTTTATATCACCTTTATTTGAATATGCAAGCCAATTTTTATAGTTTCACTGTTATAGTAAAATACCATAGAGCACTTTACAAATCCCTTCGACACACCTGTTAATTTTGCATATGAACAACAATTAGTTTTGCTCTCCAAATAAAAAAAAAATAACAATGTCTCATCACTTTCGTTTGTAAACTATTTACTGATATGCCAAATGAATGTCCAGCTTTTCGCGTCGATGCTGACTGAACATAATCTACTGCAAAACTAAAGGCTTAACATTTAGTATTTTAATGAGGCATAATTTCTGTAATTAAATGAGTTTGAATAAAACATTGAGAAAATATTCATAGTTTTATTAAGTAAGTAAGTTACATGTTTCCAAAACTAATATAGTTTAATGCAGAAGAATCATATGACTATGAGGGTAATATATAATCCCTGGGCTTTGGTTTGTCTTTAGGATATATACTATAAACTTTAACGTTTTGGCCTGTTATATTCTGAAACAAAATTATCGTAAATTAAACAACTAGCTTTTCTTACTTTGTTAAATCTTTTTTTCTATATTTTTCTATAAAGAACTTGTTACTAGATTTCAAAATAATAATATCTGTTTTTTTGTAACAAATTACTCATCAAAACCTCCATCGTCGCAAGTAGATAATACAAAGACAAGATTCGATTAAACGCCCTTCAGATTCCATTATAACCTACGTTAACATTAGCAACAAGTGTTGTCGTGGGTAGAAAAAAATATTCATATTGAAACTAGGTACATTCTCGCATTCGTGAGCGTCAGTAACTGCGGTGCGACTGTATTGTTTATATTGATAGGCATACCGAGTATGGACATATCTAAATTATCCTAGATAATAATAGAATATGCATAAAAAATTAGTGACAACCTGATCGTCCAACATGGGTCCATATGTACGCAACACTGGTGCGTCCATTTTCTTGACTGCGGTGCGACTGTATTGTTAATATTGATAGGCATACCGAGTATGGATATATCAAAATTATCCTAGATAATAATAGAATATACATAAAAAATTAGTGACAACCTGATCGTCCAACATGGGTCCATATGTACGCAACACTGGTGCGTCCATTTTCTTGGCATAGACCGAGCGTCGGTGATGCGCCAGAACTGCGTCATGGATCATGGCAGTAGAAATGCGCGCGCGGTCAGCAGAACGTGCAACACATCTCACTTCGCGTAGCGCTTCTAGCGCTATATGAAGACGAACACGCGCCAGAAACGTGTACAATGAAATTTCCTCTTCATTTTGCTGGAAAATATTAAAAAAAAATGTTAATGAGAAAATATTTTAAGAAAAAAAGAAAGCATTAAAACACCTCACTAGATGGCAACTCTACCAAAAGTTGGAACGAATGGAGTAATTTCCGTTCCTTTTCACTAACATATTAAAAAAATTAAATTTGCAAAGTTCAAAACTTGGATATTAATACAAATACAATATGAGTTGTATATTGAGTTTTGAAAATTCATTTACTTTTATACATGAAAGAAAACCGGAAGGGTATTCATGGAGAAGTCAAGAAAGTACCGTAGTTACATCTAATTTGGTTTCGAGAACAATTTTTTGTTTGATTGTACCACTCTTTAAAACAAAAAACTAATCAATCTGGGTTTACTTTAAAACTGCGCCTAACACTCAACCATATAGTAAAATATCATAGAGCAGTTTACAAATCCCTTCGACATACCTGTTAATTTTGCATATGAACAAAATGAATTGTTTTGCTCTCGAAATTAAAAAAAATGTCACCTTTGTTTGTAAACTATTTGCTGAGATAATGCAACATTATTTTTATATTATCAACAATCGTTGCCTAACGAATGTCCAGCTTTTCGCGTCGATGCTGACTGAACATAACGTATTGCGTTTCGTTGTACGGGACGCTATACCTAGGACGCTATCCCCATGCGTCAGTATGATGTACTCCGCGAAAACGATAGGACTTTATGGATAGCGATATGTATCTTTTTCTAATGGTGTCCAAGATCACGAAGCTCAAACATTTTATTAGTTATATTTTTTGTTCACATGCATAAATGTAGGTACACCTTATTAATATCTTTTTGAATGACGTCCTCTTGTTGTCTTTTTATTTCCTTGGCCCAGCCCACGCCGATGTTGAGAAACTCTTCAACGTTATCCTGGTCTTGCGGGAGCAAGGTGGGCGATCGAATCTTTGTTTCGACCCACACCTCATTCAGCTTTAGTGTCATGTAATGAGAACAGAGTACTAACACAGCCTATAGGAAAATATGAAAGGAACTTATAAAACTGGTCACAATTAGATCAGTGATAAGCAAAATGTGGTTTGAATTCAATTGTCGATTAAATAGTTTAACCTCATCTTCTGGCGAAATTTTGATATTCTTGTACATATTGAAAGCCTCGTCCGCCAATGTCACAGTGTACGCCAAGTCATCTGACAACAAGTGCAAAAGGGCGAATACCTGTCAAAGAATTTAAAAATATATATATGTTACTAAAACAAACATGAAAAAAAATTATTTGTAGATAATAGACGTGAGATTACATTGTTTTTCATTGAAAAGGCTCTGAAACTACTGAACCGATACTACATACACGGGGCTATAATTTACACGAGTGAAGAATTTACACGCGGCAACAGCTAATCATAAATAAAAATGCAAATATTTAACAGTTTTTACCATGAAACGGCCATCTAGTAATTTAGCTATAATATTTTTGTACTGTAATTTTCAGCGTAACGTAAGTGTTTCGAGGAACTTACTTTCGACATACGGGAACCAGCCAAATCGCCAGCACTGAAACACACTGGGGTCCGTTCACTTTTCACCGAGACGAAATCAGTTTCATATAATGCTTTCCTTACATCCGAAGACATTATTGGACAGTCTAAATCTAAAATTGAATAATATACCCGCAATTAATAAAATAATTAAGGGGCTACTGAATTAGAGGATGGAAGTTTGTATGATATAATACAAGTGCTAGGAGTTTGAAATATTGCATGCGGGTTCTTTTTCTTTTTATCTTTTTAGGTGCTTACTAAGACGGGATTTTAAGAAAATCTACTTTACGAATTAGAGGATGTAAGTTTTATGGAATTTTCTCATTTCTGGACTTAAAACTATAGACTACGCAGGCTAAGTTCGCGGGCAAAAGCTAGTTAATTTAATTATGAGGATTATTTATATACAAAATTGTTTACAGGGATAGCGATATTTGTCTTTTAGCTATTAAAATACGAGTGAAATAAATACTCACTCTGTATGATTCCTAGGTCATTAAGAGACACGCCTGTTTTTTGGCAATCGTCCCTAAATATTGCAGCCAATAAAGATGCGATAGTAGCACCACGCTTCACAATATTTGGGCTCTGAAAGTAATTAAGTGTGATCGAAAGAATAAAAAAATAACAACAAATACCTTATTATAAATATTAATTAATTGTTTTAATTTTTATCTTAAAACAGTAGCATCGTAACAGCAGCGACGTCATCTTATTTGCAGAATACGTATTGAAATTATCTTCATTAAGTTAAACAGTTTATATGACTGCGTTGTAATTCTCGGCCACCTTGAATAAATTCGCGAGCCGTTTATTTTTGCAAACAAGAACACTGAAATTCTGCAGGTTAATTAATTAAGCGGACGTGAAACAATAGGTTTCACACAATTATTCGCTATTTTAGATATTGTGGTAGTTAACTGACCAGAATATGAATCCTTGTGATATGTCTTGTAGTTTACGATCATAAAATATGGGACAAGTATACCTATATAGGAAATTATACTTATTATAACAAAAGTAGCGAAAACTTATTTCCTTAGAGAAAGAAATTAGGATTTCTTATCCTTATCTACCCCGTGCTTCTCGGACCTCATTGAATATTTCCGAGATAATTATTTACTGAGAAATCAACCTTTATAAAACTAAATGTCCTAGCTTAGAATAAAAATATACTTTAAGTATCCAAAATGTGATGTAACGTTAAGTTTATAACTGAATGGTGAAAGACTGACTGCGTTGAGGTGCGAAAAAAAATTAAAGAGTATAATATTCCTTCTTTTCAGCCAATATGCATAAAACAGTAATAAGAGCTCTATCAAAGGTTTCCGAGAATATTCATCACGTTTTGACAATCAGGATAAAGTCATTTTATAACGTATGGGAATTTACTAACGGCATGAGAGGCGCTGAATTTGGCACGCCAGGTCACTATTTGCCCAACAGCATCGCCAGCACGCGCTATATCACAAACCATTGCCAATATGATACACTGCACTGATGATCGTGTCATCTATCATCAATACATAAATACTTAGTTTACACCTTTAGTAGAACAAATTATTATAAAAATCGTAAAAGTCAGTTAAGCTAGACGAGTTTGCGATAGTTTCGCACCTAATACGTGTTTATATCCTTCAAGAGGTTGTTAAGACGTAGGTAACATTTCACGATAGATATTACAATGGGTTATCCATAAATAGCCATTAAAAATGGTTGTGAGCAGATTTTAAGCAAGTTTTGATTTAGAATATAGATTCATCGTCGGATTCAAGTATAATTTTATTCTTACAGTTATTAAATCCAAAAGTTTATAAATGCCATTGTTCGCTATGAATATAGCTCGTCGCTCTGGAACCCATATAACCGCTTCCCAAATGAAATTCATTAAAGATACAAGCATCCTGAAAGTTGATAGAAGAATTGAGCGTAATTGAGAATTTTTTCATCCTCATTCCTGGCCCACTGTTAGAATAGTTTATAGTCATATGAATAAAATCACAAAGGAAGAAGAGGACAACCTTTATGTGCGTTCAATGAGAATTGGATGAAAGGAAAAGCTTTACAATAAACTTCCATGACCTTTGCGAAATCTGTTTCGCTACACAGAAGATTCTAAAGACACCACAGAGCTCGTCTCAATATATTATATTTTATTTATGACTGAGTGAAAAGAATAGTAGAAATGATTATGGACAAGAAGATCCTCGAGGTCAACTTTTTTGCCTATATTGTAGTTGAAATAATGCCGCGGTCCGATATTGATAAACAACTTCGCAAGTGTCAGTTACGAGATGTGTGACCAAAAAAATATTATCTCAAGCTACTTCATGCTTCGGAAGGTACGTTAAGCCGTTGATCCCGGCTGCTATCATTAATACTCTCCAATCCGCATTGGGTCAGCATGAAGGGTCATAGCACATCTTACTTAAAGATGCATAGGGCGACTGCAGTGGGGTCTTAAAAGGGCTAATAATGAAAATAATAATCATTTTTCACCTATCGCTAATTATGAAGTGCCTGTCGAGCGAGTATAATACCATATCCACTAAGTTTCTAACGAGTGTATTGATAGATGACGGCCACTTTATATCAGGATAAACGCAGCACGTTAGCTGTCTGTTCACATCCAGTGCATTAGTCAGCAGGCTAAGGTTCAGTGCCATCACCGCTTGAGCTTTTTCCACTGGCGGTTGTTTCTTTCTCAACAATGTGTAGCAAAGATCTATAAATATGAAGTCTTCTTATGTATTTTTGAAAAGACCATCTAATCATTCTAAACATAAATCACGAAAAAAAAAATATACTAAAATTAGTGTCTACATTAAAATTATGCTATGTTGTTACCGAAACAAAACTAACTTATGATGATAATAATCCCATGAGTATCAAACAGGTCAATGAGACTGGATCTTTTCTTGCAATAGTCCCTGTTCTCTACTGTAACTTGTAAAAGTCTCAAACACCAATACAGAATTGGTAATTCAAACGGACTCTCGGAATACCATTCGATGTACCACATAATTCTATAAAATAAGATAGCAATGAGTAAGATGAAAGGAATAAGGAGCCTGTTTGTACAATCAATCCGCGATTAAGTTTTACAAAATTGACCATTGACAACAGCATATCGACGTTATGACTTAGTTACACTAGTCGACGAGGTCATGACGCGGAATGTGGGTGATCTTAGACCATTTAGTCAATGGTATTTAAGACAATGAGCGATCAATGAAACCGAGCCTCTAAAATCGGCGGCAACCCACACGCGCATATCATCAACCAGTGTAACTGCGCCATTATAGTATCAGCAGCGGAAATTGAGCAAGCTTTCTGGGTATACTCTGATTATTATAATTTGTCAACAATAAAAATAAATGTTGAATGTCTACCTCCTAATAAACCCATATTCTACAGCCAAACGTGGTGACATGAGCGGCATAACAGACACTAGGGCTTTTAATGCTGTCTTTCTCAACTCTGCAAAAAGAGCAGGCGACCAATGAGATCGCAAATGACACAATCCTGGGTCCACCAAATACATAAGCCCGAGTAACCAATAACGAGCCTCAACCATCTAGAACAAAAGAGAAGCATTTAAGATTGGAAATTCAAAACAACTACCTCGTGTGTTCGTTTTGAGACGAAATAAAAGCTGCGTAACTTTTTTATTAATTGACTTATATTTATAAAATCTTCAGTAACCATTAGATAATATTCAATAATAAAATATTTATATTTTATTTAAATTGAGTGCCCTTGTTTTTAATACAGGCCCTTAAACGATTTAGACAGTCATCAATGGCGGCACGAATCTTTTCTAGCGGAATTCGCTTTGCTTCTCGAACAAGGGTTCGCTTCAGTGACTCCAAGTTTGGGTGGGACATACGGCAGGCCCTGAGCTCTAATTCAGTCCATAAAGAATAATCTAGCGGATTGAGGTCGGGGCTGGAAGAGGGCCACTCGCGATGAAGACCGGCACATTTTCCCTCAACCAAGCTTGGGTGCTTTTTGCCTTATGGGATGGCGCCGAGTCTTGCTGAAAATCTCAATCCTTATTGTGAAATAACGTATCAGACAGGGGTTTCTCGTCGGTGAAGAGTATCTTACTGACATCATGTCTCGTCAGCAGCTATGGACAACGTTCGCGTCGTAACTTACGAAGACGATCGTTTAAAAAGTGAACTTTTCTACGGCTATAGACCTTAAGATCATATTTCCGTATTTTGTTCACTGAAACGCGCGAAATATTAATCTGCAGAGCGAGTTTCTTCTGAGTGCGACATGAATTTCGGCGAAGGTGCTCTCGGATGATTTTGATGAGCGCAGGCGTCCTCACAGAGCGTGGCCGATAAACAAATAAATTTGTGTTACATATAAACTAAAAGTTAACATTCTAAATTCAAAATCGATAAAAAAAATAAGAAAGAGGCAGTAACATTCTATTTTTTCAGTTAAATTTTGTCTCGAAACTTATGAACACACGATGTACTCGTAGTATTAAAATTGCAAAAGAAGACAACATAAAGTGGTTTCCTCAAAAGATTTTTATTTTGATGGAGAAATGGACTGATTATACTTAGGTAGCACTAGTGTTCTAGCATTTAACTATTTTTTATGAATTAAAGTCACTAACAGCTATTTTGAGGACCAGCAGCTCTTTTATAATTGTCTATGTTTAAATAGTTCATTCATCAAATCTGCTGTCGTTATTAATTACTATTAATGTTGTTTATGGACAACACCAGTTTTTATAAGCATTACACTCTAATAGTGCCCACACCACCCTAGTCACATTTTGTCGTTATCAAGCTATTGATAGTGAAAATTAAAGAAATCTGGTGAGTTCCAAAACTGTAAAACCTAGTACAGTTGCCAAACAAGAACCTGCGACCACATATAGCTACGCGATATAACAGTAAACTGCGAAAATTTTAATCAGGAAATACAAATTCTGCAATAAAGAAATTTTAATCTCATGAATTTCACTCACGAATTTGTTAGCGGGAAACGCTTTGATTAAATCAACACATAAAGCGATGAGAATACTCTTGAATTGAACATCTACTTGACCAGTATTCATGTTCACAGTTCCGATCCAGTCACTCCTTGTAGGCAGTTCAGTTAAGACTGATAATGACATCAAATCTGAAATATACAAACCTTATATTACCAACACTATTAGAGAAATAACTTCATTTCATTATTTAAATAACTGCTTTGTTGGTTAATTTCAAAATTAAACGCCCAAAAGTTTATAAGTTCAGGAAAAACGGTAAATGTTCGGCAATTTTCTTTTGCAAACTTACCCCCCCATAAAAGCAACCATCAAAAAAAGTCAAAATAATCCTTATTCAAATAGACTTCTTAAAAGTACTTTTGAATCGTCCAACATTTTTTCCCTACCACTCGTTCAGGAGGTCTATTGGCTGATAAGAAGAACGAGCAAGAAACTCACCAGCTCTAAATATGAGTAATGACATTCACAAAAACCATGTCATTACCAGATCAAAACATTATAAATAGAGATTGAAATAAAAACTATGATCTTATAATGATAACATAATAATTCAATAATAATGGCAACAAGATAATTTTTGATATATAATATAAGTTTAGAAGAAATCATCTATCCAGTTGTTGGACCATACTAAGTCCGAGCATTCTTATCTGTTATATAATCTTATAATTAGCTTTTTTAATAAGTATTTTTAATAGTAATTTTTTATTTTACTTGGGACCTTATTGTAGAAGCCCTTACAAAGACCCCTGAATGAGTTATGAACTTTTTGCAGTCTAGTGATAGGCACCGTTAATTAATATTTATTTCTTGTATTAAAATTGTGTACATCACTTTTTATAGAAAACAAACTAATATTTTTACGAACGTACATTAAGTTGAGAAGCAACCGTCATTATGTCTATTTCTTTAAATTTCTTCCTTAAAGGGTGCCTAATCCTTAGAGAATAAATTGATCTTATTACTCTTCCATGCACAAAAACCGTTTGTATGTCGACAGCATTACCCCACAATATATTTATTTACTGAGTTTATATTGAAAAATAGGTAAATATTCGCGATTCTTTTCGCGATCTTTCTTTGCGAAGTTTAATGAATGTATGAAATAAACATATTCATATTTTGTTACACTTATTATATTCCCTTATTTGTAGCTGAATCTGTTGCGATATTATCAAGAAATTTTCTTACCAGGCATGAGTAAAGAAGAAAATAGAGTTAGCCGGTCACCAAAACAATATAACAAGACGCCGATGACAACGGTTAGTGTAATTCTCTCGTTTTGGTGCCCCCTGACACGACATTCATAGCGATACGCCCAAATGAAGCACCTGACAAGAAACATTTGAATATATTTCATTTTCTTTATTTACAAGAACTCACGCCGACAAAATAAACGATAACTTTGTAACTGGTTCGAGAAAATAGTTATTGATTAAAATAGATCATTAAAATAAAGTAATTCTATTATACTATTTGTAAAATGCTGTTATTTATTAAGTACTTATTTAGGTTAATACATAAATGCCATTACAGGAATAATTATTACCATTGTTATGATTGCAATATTTATAGTAACGGAATGAACCTGTATTGCGTGCTTTAACATTTTATAATTTTATATCTTTGAATAGTGTTGGGAATATTAAGATACTTTTTATATATATTCAAGTTAAGATATTAACTACTTTAAAGTTTTGCGGAGAGAAATTAAGAGCAGTTAATCGAATATAAGTAATTATAAAAAAAAAATGATAAATATCAAAAAATATGTTTTTTGGTCCTATTTCATGTAAAGATCTAAAGACTAGAACTAAAAAGGTGAAAAAGTTTTCAGTTTGTACGGGAAATTCATAAATCATCGACTCGAAATATTCTTTGTTCCTAAAGGACTTCATTTCTTTCTACAATCCTTACTTATTGTGGCATATGAAAATTTTACCGTATATTGCATATATTTCTTTGACTATATTATCTTAGACTATATTACCTTTGACTATAAGCATCCGGACAGGGTAAGATCGACCGGTGTGTTGGATTTCGTTCTAAATATGCTTTAGTGGTTGTAAGGAGAACGAGAAGCAGTGACAGTGTTGTAGATATATTTATGCAGCTTTCACCTAAAATTTATAATAAAAAATATAAGTAATTCTTTAATTCGTTGACGACTACCATAATGGAGGAAGAGCTCGCACCACACGCCGGATAACGCTATAGCCGTACTGCAAACTTTGATACCAAATATAGGTAAACTTCGTCCATATTTGAGTAAAATAATAAACTTTGATCTGTTTAAAGGAGAACGAGAAGCAGTGACAGTGTTGTAGATATATTTATGCAGCTTTCACCTAAAATTTATAATAAAAAATACAAGTAATTCTTTAATTCGTTGACGACTACCATAATGGAGGAAGAGCTCGCACCACACGCCGGAAAACGCTATAGCCGTACTGCAAACTATGATACCAAATATAAACTTTGGCCATATTTGAGTAAAATAATAAACTTTGATCTGAGTCTATTTACCTAGCTTAAGATTCCAATCTCGAGGATCAGCAGGATTTTCGTTAAACGTAGGTAATTCAGTTATGGGAAAGTACGGGTTGAAACGATAAAATATATTCTCTATTATATTTTCTTTCATCATCTCGATACCTGTTTGACATTTCAATCATTAACTGTTTGATTTCTTATGGTAAGTTTGCTATAGTGATCCGAATTTGTAGTAAAATAGTTAATAATATTAAAGCAAGATCTTTATCGTCATTCACGTGAACCTTTTTTTTATTTATAATTCCTATATTTTACTTCTAATTCCATTCCCTCGAAGAAATTTCACACTTCATATTGCTCGGTTTATTTTTATTTTATATTAAGAATAAAAGATAAATAGTAAAAATAACTAATCATTATATTGATACTTACAATTATCAGCATTATCATTTGCTAGCAGAAAAGCTATCTCCAGGAAAGTCGGAAACCTGTGCGAGTCAGCGACTGCCAACATTCTGACAGCAGTGTGTATGAGTACTGGTCCTGCTGCCGCAAGAACGATGTGCAAGTGAGCGGTGCCGGGCCCTCGACTTGAATCGGGTGCTGACAGTTGCCATATCATAGCGTTGCTCACTAGATCAAATAAGACGTCGTCCTCCATCCGCAGTAATAAATATCCTTGAATAATTAATACTTATTTTAGAATCATCATCATCAGCTTATTGATTTCTTCACATATAATATCACACTAATGTGGTGTACCTTTTGTATGCTGTTAATATAATAAAAATTAAATACTGACTGTCTGTAACCACATCATTTGCATTTGGTTTGATCGACTTGACTATTCATTTAATGTTCAATTGATTAAACGCTTCTTTTCTTACGAATTAAAAAATGTGGATAGAGTATAGGTACCATAGAACAATTAATAAAAGTAAAGGAAATAGTAGTCGAATGGTTTAAAATTATATTTAAACATACGAACAATTTAAAAGCATCTATACTAAAAAAAATTACGTCATAACAGCTGGAAACCGTCTACAGCTTGCCATGACGTTCAAAGAGTGTTTGCCGGTACTCATTTATAGTACGGAAACCTGGGTTGTCATCAGAGACACCAACTGATAAAGTTGAGCGACCGAAGAAGAGTTATGTGGAGTCACCAGGATACTCACCAACCCTAACAAGACCTTTGGTCCTCTCTCGTGACCGGAGAGGCTTGGAGCTACTCCTAAAACCGTAAAGGCCATGCTATGTGGGGATGGCTGAATGTTGACGGCTTAGAACTTTGATTTGTTTCTATCTCAGCACCAGGGTATACCAATAGAAGAGCAACTAATGCTCAAACAAAAGGCTTCGAGGGCAAAGTCGCTGAAAGAAAAGGTGTAACGCACCCAAAGTAGACGTTTACGAGGCATGTTGCCCGTAAACAACAAATCTTAATGCAAAGTCGCGATAAGCTGTGGTGAAAACGCGTAGACCACAGATGCGTTGGAAAAACGAAATGAAGTGCCGGATCGCAGTGGATTAAGACGGCTTTATGCCAAGACGAAGATTTATCTTTTTTACAATTGAAGTAATAACAATAAATATTAGTTTACGATCATCATTAGGGTAACTAATCACAAATTGTGTAAAAAGTAATAACAACTATGCGTAAAAAGTAACTAATAACGACACGTATATTTTTTAACATTTCTTCATGAGCCTTTTACATATAACAAAATTGTGTTTTTTTTTATTCGTTATTTTTCTACGACATCGTCTGCGTTAGTTACGTCACCCGCGTATGATGTAGCTTCCCATGAATCTAAGACTTTTTCAAATCAGTTCAATAGATACGGAATTATCAGTCGAAAATGTTTATGAAGCTCTATTTGCGCAATTAGTATACCATCCAAATGTCAACATCTATGTCTCTTTGATTAATTGACTGGCCTTTTTAAACTCGTCTCGTTTTCACTTGTCTTTATAGGTTTATAATAAATACAATCGAATATTATTCGGCTAATATTAAAACATTTTGTTATAATAATAATTCACGACCTTGAGAAGCGTGCGCTAATATTTTTCGTAGACCTCTTAACTGTTGCCCTTTTGCAATATGCAATCACTTCAATAAACATTCCGATATTAATAAGCACAATAACAAGTTAGCGATGTTATTAAAACTTTGTTAAACATAGAACAAAACATTTTTATACAAATAGTTGGTATTTAGATCAATTGCAATAATTAATTTGTTATGGATGCCTTCATAGCGCAGTGGTTAGCAGTCCTGGTTTGCGATACGGTTGCTAAGCAACTTTCGCAAGGGCTGGTCATAATATGGCTGATAAAAAAATTATTAACTTGGGCTCCTCCGTACATCGAAGGACACATAAAGCCCTGCTAAGCAGTAGTTAATGTCCAGAAATCCGCACTGGACCCGTCACGGCCCATGCTCTCGATTCAATTGCATCTATAGGGGAGGGAGGACCTAGCCCCAGTAGTGGGGACATTAATACACTGGTGACGATAAGACTGCGTGTCTCCAGCTTTTGTATGAAAAAATTGTGTGCTACTTAAACAGGACACGTTATCTAAAAATTACTTCTTCTTACTGATTTTATATAAAGAGATAACGTCTCAATAAGCTGATGTTAAAAATTGGAAAACTATTTTAAACATCAGCTCATTTAGATTATATTATAAGAGTACTGTCATAGCCAAAACATGGGTTTTTGTTGTACAATTTCTCTATCTCATGTCTCGGCAAAGTGAGTAACGTATTCATTAATTTACATCTATAAAAATGTTAGTATGATATGATGAGAAGAAATTGATTGGTGAATTTTGTATCTATTGTCGAGGATATTTTATAATTAAACCTTATTAAAACCGAATTTCTTCGAATTCGGCGTTAGCGTGCCCAGTTAGGTACCAAGAATAAAACAAACTTAAAAAGTGCTCGGCCAATTCCTGCTGATATCAAATTGTTAACAATTAAAATGCCAATTACCTAAAGTAATCAAGAAATCAAATTTACTACCTATACCTTATTATACTAGTTTTCTTTTTTGCAAATTCGTACGCGAAAATTTCAGGTTATAACCATGTACGATGTTGTTGGCTATCGAGTTTCGAAGTCTATTCAATGTAAATAAAAAAACAACTCCTTATAACATTAGTGTAGACGTTAAATAAAACAGGGACTGGTCATAATAACGCCCACCAAATTGCTACCAAAGTGAAAAGTCGCCGTGTCCTCATACATGTCTTGCAACTCTGCTCTATAAACCTCTAGCATCCCTTATTAGGAGTAAAATCCCCTGAGTTCTAATGGCATTGTCCTCATTTTTGCATGACCACTGGTCATGGGTGGATTAGATCACGTACAATAGGATGTGACATTCATTAGATACATTCGAGAAGAAAATAATAATAGAAACCGATATAACAGAGAAATGTTTTTATGAATCTATGTATTGTATCGAGTATATAAGATTACGTTGCGCATAGTATATGATCAATTTTGCATTCATATATTGAAAAATATTCATAATGAAAAATACTTTAAAAAATCCAATCCACTTTGCCCTAAGGTACTCTGAGATAGGATTCGAACCTTTGGCAATTCGGGCGACTGATTAGTAAGATTGCGAAAGGTCGTATGTTCGAGTTCGAGTAGGTCCCATCTCGGGCAAAGTGGGTTTTTTAGCATTTTTTATTAATAATACGTTTCACATAGGTGTCTGATATATAATTTCATTAAATTAAGCTAGGAGGTTGTTTAATTTTATTGAGTTTTATAATAATGACGTTGAGTTCCCGTAGGTTAAAGGATTTTCATGATCAGATTAGTATTTTCGTAGATTACTGCGTACAAACAAACAAACAAGGTTAAGAATTTTCCATCTGAATATTTATTTGTATAGAAGATGCTTATATATTCCGCTTTTCTTTCTGACGTAGGTAAGAAAACTAAATTGAATTAAATAATTATGAATTACTTCATCGTCTATTTATCGCCTATTTGTGGTTCTTTTAATATCTAAGTTACAATATTTTAATTTGTTTGAACCAAACTTCAGTTTTTTATTATGTTACCTGTTCGTAGAGCCTAAGTCTATGAAAATAGTGGGACTTACATTACATTACATTATACGGGGAATTATCCTTTTTTTAAATATATTTACTGTACCCAAACATTGTTTCACTGAGAATTGTTTGAGTTATTTTTAAAAATATGATAAGTTTTTGATCGTTTGTTACAATCTTTATTTTTCCTTTAACATGATAAGAACACTTTTCTCAGGAGTCACCCTGCTATAGAACGATATCGTTATCACCAGAATATTAATATACCTACTGCTGAGGTTCAGACCTTCCCTATGAATGGAAGGGAATAGTATCAAATCGAATAGGGGGAATGTGCCATGGCCATCGACCATGCGGGCACAATGCGGATAGATGGTTGTCTTGACTGCTAATGCAGCTGAGACCAACGACTTAACATGCCATTCGAAGCATGGGGTTCGTGATTGTAAATTTTTGGTCACCCACCCTCAGCTCTGGACCAGCCCTTGCGAAAGTTGCGTAACAACCGTATCGCAGACCGACCGCACTGATCACTGCACTATTAGAACAGGTTTTATGAAAAAAAAAAAGTTTTTTTTGTCTGAATGAAGTTTACAATAAAATGACTCCGTTTAAACAAATTGATTAAATATTCATGAAAAGTTAAGGTACTGAACTCAATAGAACTTTGCGCACATGACCCTAAAAAGATTTGTTACATTCCATAAAAAAAAACCAAAGTCAGTAAGTTTATGATCTAAAAGTTGGACAAGACATACGTACTTAGTAGTTATTCAATTAAATGAGGCTAGAGTAATTTTTCACCTTTTTTGTGTTATATATAATGTAAAAATGGGTTTTTTAAGAACGTAAGCTAAGTAGGTACTGTGCAAACAAAATTAATGAAAAATTAAGTTAATCATACTCTGTGCTATTTTGAATTTCAGTTAACACTTGCTATTCCTATGCGGTGAAATAAAATTTAAGTTTAGATAAGTAGCACTATCAACTTTATTGTTCTTAATCGTTTTTTAAGTAGAAATATATGGAATATGCATTTACCCATAAAACCAATGTATGAACTTATATTTATGAAGTATTTGACGACGTCAGATGAAGCGTTAAGCAATATTGGTTTTTTCATGTTTCTCAGTAGCGTTACGAGATGTGTCTTCATACTCGGCATCTTGTGAAGTGTCTCCACCAAATAGTCTAATATTATGCAGACGTTATCCAACACGTGAACTTTCTAAATATTCAAAATGGATGTAATAATTAAATTGTTGTATTTATTCAATTTTTCTGAAAGAAAATTCTTACGTAAATCTACTGTTCTCGTCTCAGTCTCAGGGCCTTACGGAAATACGTTTCTTTGGAGCTGTTTTCGAAATCTACCTTTTATTACCTTTTCGAAAATAGACGGAATTACGGTTTTGGAGTATAAGATATACAGGTTTAGCTCACAGGTAGTGAAAGCAATGAAAAATTGTGAATGGTTATGACATAGAATCACATCTCTAGGTCTAGGGTCACCTAGGACTAGGGATTTAAGCAGTTTCCTTTAAAATATAAATGAAATAAATAAAGACGAAATATAGGTAAGGAGTTTTTAAGGGGAAGCATAGTATTTTTTTTAGTGCGGTATTTATTTTAATAACTTTGAAAAGTTAAAACCTATTAAAAACCTATTATTCCGGATAAGAGAGGAAAATATTATCAAAGCGTAAGAAAGCGCTCGCTGTGAAAAAATGCCAATACAAGTAATCTAAAAATTATACATATCCATTGCTTGACATTTTGGTGAAATCATTGAGGAGAGCTTCGAGCCGATCATGTTGGCTTACACCGACTGTGTCCGTCACTAAGAATTCCAATTTCTCAGCAATGTCCCAACCATAAGCAGGGGGACATTTATCATTCCAATCAGGATCTGTAATTTGTAATTAAATAGGTTTAAATTTGTTCTTAGACGGTAATTGAGTCTTAACTTTGTGTGTGTTTCTTAACATAGAAAAGTAAGACAGGATGGAATCAATGTAATATTACAAAGAACAATCCAATTATTAGAAACATTATTTCATTTATAGAGGCAGGTGACACTGCTTGAATATCAATAAAAGGCTCAACTTTTAGGTAAGGTGCAAACCTAATTGTGTATGTATGTAAACCAAAATTAAGTAAGTATTATAGATAGGTAATTGAGAAATAAAAACTCCACGTATAAATAACTAACTTGCTTATTAATATTGCCCTGATGCTTTATTACATATTATTTTATTTAGAGCATAGTCGTTAACTACACTACAAAGTAATAATATATGCGAATGTGACACTAATGTAAATGGATATGTAGGTGAGGGAAAACGCATACTTCAATTGAAGGATCGTGCTATTTATTGATGATACTTTCACAAAATCTAGGATCAGATATTAGAAATTTATATAGGAAACTTTTAGTCGTACGAATCTTATAACAATTGGGTTAAAATTAAACGATTCGTCGATTTTAGGCATATGAATATAATTTGAATGTACCTATTAGTTCATACAATGTAGGTATCAATTTAGCATCCATAATCGATCCATGTATATTGTTTTTTTATATATAGATAGAATAATTGTGTATCCACATATAGAAATTAGTCCATGTATGCATACAGCTAATGACAGTCATAAGTTACTGTAGTCAAATACATAGACATAGGTACAATAATGTACCTAAGCAACATATTACCTATCATAGTTTAAGCATTTCATTTTTATAGTTTAATCTTATTACTGAATATTAATTGTACCCGTTATCGACCTTTTGATTACCAACGTACCAAATGGTATCGGATCCAGTTCCTTAATAAGGTTTCTCGTCAAAAGCCCTTTCTCTGTGTACAGTTTACCTTCAGGTCCATGGACACAATGGAAGGTTAAAGACGACCCAGATATAGATTCCGACTTTCCAAAGTATTCATCTGTAGTTATTTTCTCAAATGTATCATTATGTCTTTTTTTTCTGAAAAACTGAGTGCCAGATGTCGATGATGACGAGCAATCTACATTGGATTTATTAACATTCTTTCCTGTTTTCAAACGGGAAGGTTTTTCTGGGAGTTTTGCAGGCAAATCTATTTGAGTTTTTCCAGACCCGCTGTCCCCAGACATACTATTACGTTTAGAAATTACTCAATAACGCAGACGTGTATTTATAAGAAATACTAAAAAAAATATATACTTAAAAATATTTTTCTTCTAATTTTTCAAACAGTTAAATAATGGCACGATGGCATTTACCATTCAAATATCATTGATTAACGTGTCATAAACTTCCATAAACTATAGATACTTATTGCCTATTCCACATTAGTTTGGATTTGCTAATGTTTAAACAAAAGCGGTTCATTATAATATCTATGTTTCTTACACCATTATGTTAAAAACATGGTTAAACGGTTAAGAATATAATGTTTTTTTTATTTATTTATTGAGGAATTTTAAACTTACAATAAAAAAATAGTATTCTATTATCTCCTTCTCCTAAATTTTCCGAAGGTTCCGTCTAGTTTACATTACGATTTTAATTAATATGAATATACACTTTAACAAGTATACTATTTATGAGATACGTGACACTCTTTTCCACGTGTTCGGTATATCGGATCGATCTCTTGGTGTTACTGAATTTATCCTGCTCTAGGTACCAAATATCCTCTTCTGAAGACCAACGGAGCGATGTCGGTGGGCGCGCGCGCCGGTGTTCCGTCAGTACGTCTGTCCTCCGCGACCCGCGTGCAGTCACGGTGACTGTCATCGGCATCGGATTTGAGTAGTCGTGAGCCGACCCCGCGCTCTTACGGACGTATTAACTATCCGCGAAATTCAATTAAATCACGTACCTACATATTAATTCATTAGTTTTCCCGTAGAGAAAACCAAGTGAAATAAAAGTTTGAAGTGGACTAGTTCTTAGTGGGATTTATCGCTAGTGCCTAATATTCTCTTCGTAGGACTACGGTAAGTAAATATTTAAGTATTTTCTCAACATTGCTGTTTGTTTGTTGACATTATTACTATAATGTTGATGGAATACTTATTTGCTACGTGAAAACCTTTAGACGACAGCTATTATGTAATAATAGAAAAACATATATATGTGAATAAAATATATGTTTTATTCTGTAACTTTTAACTTGAAACAATAATAGTTATTTAAGAACATTTTCGTGTTATATATATTATGTTTTATATTATTAACCATACGATAATGCTTGCATTGGAAGCAAAAAAGGCAACAATTGATTTCAAAAGAAAAAACCTGCACTCAATTGCTCTCACATGGTCAATTAAAAAATTAAAATGGCCACTGACAGGTGCAAATACCTATATTAAAGTAGAATGATGACCAGTGACGCATATCTATAGCTGTTTCAAATTGGTTTAAATGACAAAGTGACGCTCGGTCACGCTTTATTATTAAAAGTATATTATTGTCAACGAAACCTAACGATACTCTGTTCACTACAAACACGTTAGTTTAAAAATATAATATATTCGCTCCAGCAAAACGTAATGTCCACAATCAAATTTTATCTAAGCAAATGAATCGACGATTGAATCAACATTTAAGTTCCTGAAACTGTTGTTGGTCTTATTAAGGCTTTTAAGACTTAAGACCATAAAATGTCTGATCTTATCATAATGAGATCGTGGTCGTGGATTAATAATCTCATTAAAAGTGTAAACTAAAAAAAGCTGAATGAAGATTATTAAAAAATAAAAACAAAAATAAGCTTCTTTAACAATGACCATTTACCTAGTATCTTCTTTTTGGTGTCATTTCATTTTCATTTCATATAGAAATCATATCGTGAATATACTACTAGGTAACTAAACATCTATATTTAGAGACAATATTCTATCGATAATAATACAATCTAAATGAATACTAATCGGATTCGTTTATTCATGTGAATAATTAAATCATCAAACTAGAAAGAAGGATCAAGTGATTCTAAAAAAATATTGTCTAAGAAGGACTTGAACTAATAATATGGGTGACGAGATTATAACTTACAGTAATAGTAAAAATCTTAAAGGAACAGTAGTTAGTCAGTCACCTTTCTAATCCAATTTTACTTTGTTAAATGACTTAATTTCAAAACTTTCTAAAGATATCAACTACAGTAATTTGAGCTGCCAAAATTCGAACAGCATCTGATTGATATGTGTATAAATAATTATTGAATATAATTTACTAGTACTTTTAGTAATATATTGTCTTTTCGCATATAGTATGCATAAACTGGTAATAAATACTTTCTGGCTATACTATTTGTATCTGGCTGGTTTCGGTCTCATTAAAAAGTTTAGATTTTAAAGAAGATAACTCCGAATTCAAATTTTGAATTCAAAACAAAATGTGTGATTATCATTTATGTTTTCTTACTGTATAAATGAGTGAATCTTATGAAGTAAATCGATACATTTTAAAATTTCATTCCAAAAAAGATAAAAATGCAAAACGTTTTTCACGTTTATGGACCTAGTGCAGTTTCTGTGAGAGAGCACAAAATTGGTTAAAGGGTTTCAATCCGGAAATTTTGATGTCAAGAATGCACTTCGCCCTGATTATGGTTATAATGAATACCATTTTTGAAAAATTGAACCAATATCGGCAGTTACAACGTAACTGAAGGTCTGGGGATTGACCACTAAACATTTTTGGCGCATTTGAAAAAATGAGTACACAAAATGTTGGATATTTGGGTACCTCACGAGGTCACTGAAAGAAACCTAATGAACCATGTACTCATTTGTGATTCTTTATTACGGCGTAATGAAATCAAACCATTTTTTGAAGAAGCTGATAACTGGTGATGTAAAGTGGATCACGTACTTCACGCCAGGCTTCACCGACTGTAGCGAAACCTGGGTTACAAAAAAGTGATGCTGTGTGTATGGTGGTATTGGAAGGGCATTATTCATTATGAGCTATTCCGTCAGGCAGGACCATTTGTTCTGAACTCTATTGTAAATAACTGTAAACAACCATATAGTCATGACCTTGCACAATCAGAGTTCCATTTGTTTCGGTCTCTTCAGAATTCTTTAGACAATGTCGTGTCGAGTTAAATAACGCAAGAGCTGCCAAAACCACTTGTCGCGGTTTTATTATCAGAAGCCCCAAATGTTTCTTTGCGTTTTATATGAAAATTCAAAATTATATACATATTTACATTCAATTAAAGTATGTAGGTACCTACTTTTTGTCATCTTGTAGGTAGAGGCTTAATAATCTTTATAAAAAAATAATTTTGAATTTTCAGCTAAAATGCGAAGAATCTTTTTCCCCAACCTATTATATAATATTATTTATTTTCTTACACTACAAATGTTTGTCCGTATATAAGTAGGTAGGTAGTATAGAATATGCTCAACATCAATTACTCGGTGATGCCGCAATTAGTTTAATACCGCTTTTAAGGAAGGTCTCTTACGATGATTCACCTCTGATGTTGTGTGGGAATTTGGCCAGTGGGACATGCATATACAGTACTCTTATCTACTGGGCATTCGTTAAATATTTCTATGAACATCGAAGCAATAAGACAAACAATAATCAAATCTGAATTAAAATCGTTTCTATTAGTAACCAAACAAATTAATAGCAAAATTAGTGGTTTAATTGTATCGTCAATATTTTTCCCACGCAAACGTACATTGTGGTTAGTACAATAAGAGAAGGGCAGTACATTTAATCAAAGTAAATAAAATTGCTTATTTATCAACTCGTTTCCTTATTAATTACTAATTACTTTCCCTTTTTTTATAATATTTGCGATCACGTGTGAGTGTATAGAATTAAAAGTGTTACAATACAATCAAGGTATCTGAAAAAATATAATTAATTTACGACGCTGACGTACGAAGACGTATCAAATGGCTGGTTTCACTATATCAACTATGAGTGCTGATAGAAAGACCAAATTGGTTGGTGACCTAAACTGTTGATTATCTAGAATTAAAATAATATACCTAAGCAGCAGTTACAATAAAACAGATATAATTAGTAAATTTATATAAAATCTTGCAGGCCTTATTCTCATGTTCATAATTTATGTTATAATTGAATAAATATTAACTAATTTACTTAACCTGATAACTGAAATGTATTAGTAGCAAAAAAGCTATAAGATGTAAGTTACAAACCGATATAGGTAATATGATTATTGGTGTGCACGATAGCACCTCATTATATCTTTGATTATATTCTATTTTTAGTTTATTAAGAATGTCACTTTGGTTATTGTTTAATACTTGACTCTTTGGACTGAATTTGTAACATAAAAAGATAAATCTTCCATTATCCCGTTTAAAATACCTGATTTCCATCATCCTTCTCAATAATTTGTGTGTCATTTATCAATTTCAATATCATAGATATTCTAACAGAATACCAATATCATTAATAGTGACAAATGTATATGTGTTTAAGTACTATTTATTGTGGATATGTGATTTTAACGACAACTTTTTATTCTTAATGAAGAAAAGAATATTCCTCAGTATACTATTGTGAATGCGAAATTAATCAAATATAATAATTAGAACAAATTTTCATTTTTAATAAAAGCTTAAATATTTGTAAAAATATTTCTTTCGCCAACATTACTTATACTGGGAATTGATATTTGAGAATTGGAAAAGTGCCTTATGGAAACCAGAAATTGAAGCCCGGCGCACCGTAGAATTCACAGGAGTACAGGGAAGTTCTATCGAGTGATCTACCATCAGACCTCTAAGAAACCTACCCACGACCCTAGGGACCTTGACCTCGATTTTACTTATCGCAAATAAATATTCTTTCTTATATATCGTTCTTTTTTTTTTTTATCACTTAATAAGAAAAGAACGTGTCAGCTGTTTGGATGGAATGCCTGAACATTGGTGAAAATACGCTCTGTAGTAGCGAAAAATTAACAATAGTTTAAAACATTATGTCTTAGGTAGCTCAGCGGTTAGAGCAGTCGGTCGCCCGGAACGCGAAAAGTCATGGGTTCGAGTTCCATCTTAGAGAGGGACAAAGCGGATTTTTCAAGCATTTGTCATTAAGAATAAAATGCAATTTCATGTAAATATACGCTAAACTAGGCGAAGAAGCTAAA